GCGCGCCGGACCGGGCGGCCCCGGCGCCCGCCCCGCTCGCCGCTGCAGGGTAAGAGAGCGCCGGGCCCTTGCCCACCCCTCGGGAGCTTTGCCCAGAACTGCCAAAAATGATCGTGGGTGCTAAAGAGACAATGTTATTTGGCCAGATCTTTGGTAACGTGTAACACATTTCCTGGTAACCGTTGTTTGGTTCCATATCAATTTTTTAATTCCCTCTTTGTCATCTCACTGTCTTGCGCTAAGTGCGTTTTTTTAAGGTAGTTGTTCCCAAACGCTTTGGCTGGCTTAGTGTTTGTAGTAGTTCTTTTGTGTGGCCAATCCATGCCTATCTGTCCGGTTCTGTAAATGGTTTCTGTAGCTGTCAACACAGCACCGTGTGTCTTTTGACCCCTGGGCTCATTGCTCATGGTTGCTCAAAAACATTTCTTTTCCCCAGCTTCACGCTCTCGCTGCAAGGGCAAAGTCCTGAGTCAGGCCTAGTGCTGGAAGCGCCGTGTTGTCCCTCCTGTCCTCGCAGCACTTGTCACCAGTTCCGTAGCTTGCCGAGCTGCCCGTTAGCTGGTGGCAGCTCCCGGGCCCTCTCGCTTCCCGTTCCCATTTATGACACACGCTGCTCCCCGCAAACCCTGACTGCTCCTCCTCCTCTCTCTGTTCTAGGCCGGCTCCTGGCAAGGCAGATCCGCAGGATGCAGTGGAGCAGCCGCCCCACAAGCTGTGTGGCCAGTCGGCAGGGTAAGCACCGGCCACGCTCCCACCTGGAGCTGGTGGCCCCGAGGAAACACGTGCCGAGTGGGACAACTCTTGGCTGCTTTGAAATATCCTCGCTCTGCAAAGACCAGCCGTGTTTAGCAGCAATCTGGAGCCTTTTTCAATTAGATATAGCAGCGATATGGGGAAGCAGGTCACAGGCTGAGCTAAATTCCAGTGCTGCCTCATAGTTGCCTCACAAATGAGTGCCAGGGAGCACAGTTCGTTTGCAAACTCTCTTAGTGAATAGGGCCTCACTATGTATCGTGCCTCCTGTATTTACGGGTAACATCCAGGTGTTACTGTGGTGGTGGGGACAGGGAAAGATAAGGCTGAGACTGGTCTCTCCAAATGCTGTTCTGTGCAAAGCTGTTCACTCTACAGCTGTGCAGTGCAGTTAGTTTCCACTCTCCAAACTCACACTCTAGACAGCTCTCAGGACAATAAGAGTGTGCCAGGCTATATTAGAAGTTAAATCCGAAACTTTCGCGATCTGTTTGGCGTTCTAATCATTAAGGGGAAAAAAATGGGTGCTTGCATCTGGCTTAGTCATAGACAACCGGGAATGAGGCAAGTTGCTAAATATTTGTCTTCATTTTCTATCCTTCCAAAGGCAAATGGCTGTCCTCCCAGAGTCTCAATCAGCACAAAGCTTGGCAAATGAGCAAGAAAACGCAGGTACGTCCCTCTGCGGGAAGCACTGAGTCTTGGGGCTCTCACCCTGGGAAGAGAAGAGTACCTCGGAGCTCTGATCTTTTTTTGTTTTTTTTTTCCTCTCTCTTGGGCTCTCAGAGAGAATCTCAGAGCTAATAGTCTATTTTGCTGTTCCTGCTTTGAAGGGAGGAATGATTTGTCCACTATTAATGGCAACTGCACCCAGGGTTGTGTCTATGTGTAGTTTGTGGAAATCTCGACACAACACACATTTTACTGCTGAAACTGAGCGGGAGAGCTCCAGGGTACTTGTTAAGCGTCTCAGATCCAATTGGAAAGTACAACTGCTCCGCAATCCAATGCCACTTACGTACAATACGGGTAGCACTGCTACCTCCCACTCGTAAATAGTGGGTATCCTCTCCTCATTATTGCCAATCGGTATTTGTGGGTTGTGATTCTCGTGGAGATTTTGCTCTTCTAGTCATCGTGGCAGATTAAAATTTGAACTTGGTAGTTTCTTCTTAGAAAAGCAGTCACGTACCAGTGGAAAGGTGTGTGGAGCAACCAATGGAAAAACCTGGTTCAACTCAGGATCTCCACGCTGGCTTCTGTGTTTTTCTAGGCCCCAAAGCTGCCGAGGAAGAGGAGAGCACGTTCAGCTCCCCTCTTATGTTTTGGCTTCAGCAAGAACAGAAGAGGAAGGAGTGTCTCGGTGAGAAGAAACCAAAGAAAGGTTTGGTTTTTGAGATCTCCAGTGATGACGGCTTTCAGATTTGTGCAGAAAGTATCGAAGGTGAGAGCCCTGCTTTTGGCTTGCCTTGGTTTTGGCGTTCCTTGCCGTAAGTCAAGCTACAACTTTTGAGGATTTGTGACCTGGTTTTATACAACTTCAGGCAGACTTTTTTTTTTTAAATTATTCTCTTGACATACAGCTCTAGAACAATCCTAGTTCCTAACAATGCACGGGTTGCATTTTAGATGCATGTTAGTGTGTGTATATACATTTATGTATGTACATATTTATATACGTAGATCTACATGTGTGTATGTGTGTGCATATATGTGGGTGTGGATGTGTGTACATATATATGTATATACACCTTATATACATAGATCTACGGGTGTGTATGTGTGTATATATGTAGGTGTGGGTGTGTGTACTTATATATGTGTATACAGACACACATATTAGATGCAGAGGTTTTACTTTCTAGGCCTTGTCAGGGACAGAGACTCCATATTCTCTAATTAGCTGATTACATTGGAACGTAGCAAGCTGCACGTGTACCCAGTAGTCAGGTTATGGATCTACTGATCGTAAGCTGCTTCTCTAGAAGCCTGAGAAGGTGTGGGGCAATAAGGCAGCGAGGGGCAGCTGCCTTGTGACTCCTCAGCACGCCGGGCGTGGGTGCTCCCTTGTGCATCTCTGTGCTCTCCTTGTGTAACTGCAGATGCCTGGAAGTCGCTGACGGACAAGGTGCAGGAGGCCCGTTCCAACGCCCGCCTCAAGCAGCTGTCGTTTGCAGGTAATGCCCGACGCAGAGGCCTCTCCGTCCGCTGGAAACGCGCGGGAGCAGCCGGGGCCTTTCTCGGCACGCGCTGCCTTGGGGCTGCCTTGATGCATGGAGGGTTGTTCCTCCCAAATGAAGTGATTTCACAGTGTAACTCGGAGCTACGTAGCTGCCGCAGCTGGAGGACGTGCGAGTTGCGGCGGGCGCTGCCGCGCGCTGCTGTGTTCTCGCTGCGCCCCGCTTGTCGTTGCAGGTGTGAACGGTTTGAGGATGCTGGGCATTATCCACGACACCGTCGTGTTCCTGGTTGAGCAGCTGTACGGAGCCAAGCACTGCCACAACTACAAGTTCCGATTTCACAAGCCAGAGGAGGCCAACGAACCTCCTCTGAACCCGCACGGCTCCGCCAGGGCTGAAGTCCACCTGAGGCAAGTGTGAGCTCCAGCGTGCTCAGCTCGAGCAGGGCGCTCGCCTGCTCCGGGCCGCGGCAGGGCGGAAGGTCTCGTGCTCTGTGTCAAAAATAAGGGCCAGAAATTAGCCTGCGTAAAGCTGTTGCATCTGCAGGGTGTGCGCGTTGTGCTTCGCAGAGCTTTCCTGGTTGTTGGGTTTGCTGACAGTTCACAGCAGTTCTTGTGTGTTGTCCTGGCACCTACGAGGCTTTGAGAGAGCTGTAAAGCCACAAGAGTGTCAAACTGTGGTGGCAACCGTTACGTTCAGGCAATGAAACAAACCTAATGTGATCTTTTTTGAACTACAGGAAATCTGCCTTCGATATGTTTAACTTCTTAGCTTCTAAACACCGGCAGCCGCCCGAATACAATCCCAACGATGAGGAAGAGGAGGAGGTGCAACTGAAATCAGCCAGGTATGCAGCAGGCTTTAACAGCTCAGAAGGCAGAAAGTACGTGGGGCTTAAAAGTCTCATTTGATAGTTTTATCTATGTGCTGCAAGCTGGACAGATAGCAAGCAGTGGAAAACAGAGGGTAGGCCCCACGGCCAGCACGGGAGCGGGTGGCATCCGAAGGCGAGCCCTCGCACCAGCTCTCTCCTGATTTCCTAGGCACCCCCTGCTCGTCATGTAGGACGTTGTGATTAGAATTTGGGGAGAAAAAGGGGGAAGCGATCAGTCTTGAATTCCTAGGAAGGGCAGCTGCTTAGCAGGTCGGGCTTGGTCTCAGATAGACGGTATGGAAGCAGTGGTACAGTTAGAAAAAAAATAATAATAATAATCCCTGCCCTGATTGGATTTCGATTGTATTCTCAATGGCCGTAAGGCTGCAGCGTCACGGTGCCTGCATGTTTGTGTCCTGGAAAATATCCCAGCTCTTAGGTGTCCCGGGCTCTCGAGTCCCGACGACGGCTCACCAGCATCTCTTGCTTCTAGGAGAGCCACTAGCATGGACCTGCCAATGCCCATGCGATTCCGGCACTTGAAGAAGACCTCCAAGGAGGCGGTCGGTGTCTACAGGTAGGGCCCTCCCCCCGCTCCGGCAGGCTCCAAAGGATCCTGCTGCAGCACCGAGCGCTCCAGAAGCCGCTCTCTCCATTTCCTGCCTCTCGGCTCTCCCCTCTCTGCGAGCGCTGGGAAACCTCTTCTCAGCACAGAGCCCTTATTGCTGCCAGCTCGGCTGGGCCGTGGCGAGGGCGTTTGCTCGGAGGTGGCCAGGGAGAACCAGTCTTGTTGGCGTTAGCGCCGTGGGGTGGAAGTGTAGTGAAATAGCACAAGTCCCTGCAGCGAAATTGCCTGTGTTCGGTGCAGTTTGTAACGTTAAACTGCCAAGATTCACCTGTACTGTAGTGAAGTGTTCCCTTCCCTTGCTGCTTCTCTAGGTCTCCCATCCACGGCCGGGGTCTGTTCTGCAAAAGGAACATCGATGCGGGCGAGATGGTGATTGAATATTCAGGCAACGTCATTCGCTCTATCCTCACTGACAAACGGGAGAAGTACTATGACAGCAAGGTGAGTCGTGGGCTTTGCTGGAAGGGAAGAAGGCTTTTAAGGAGCCTCTTCAACCCTTTCCTCCATTTGCTCCTCCGAGCAAGGACAAGGGGACACAGCAGGGAGACACCTCGGTTGTTATGGGGCCTTTGGGGTGACGGCATCTCTGCAAAAACTTGCACAGAACTGCCGAGTCCTAGAATAGAGCAGCGCTTTGCACCTCCGGGGTGTCCCCCAGGCAGGTGATGGATGGAGCCTGGAGGCCCAGGGAAGCCTTTGCGCCGTAACCTCTGCTCTGTGCGTGGGGCAGGGCGCAGGCGGGCCCACGGCAGGGTGAGAGGGAGCCGAGGAGGCCCCGGGACGGGAATCCCCGCCGGGAGCTCCGGGCTGCGCTCCGGTGCCCGGCAAGGCCTCACGCGCTGCGTTTGTGTCGCCCGCGCGCAGGGAATCGGCTGCTACATGTTCCGCATCGACGACTCCGAGGTGGTGGACGCCACCATGCATGGCAACGCGGCCCGCTTCATCAACCACTCGTGCGAGCCCAACTGCTACTCGCGGGTCATCAACATCGACGGGCAGAAGCACATCGTCATCTTCGCCATGCGCAAGATCTACCGCGGGGAGGAGCTCACCTACGACTACAAGTTCCCCATCGAAGACGCCAGCAACAAGCTGCCCTGCAACTGCGGCGCCAAGAAGTGCAGGAAGTTCTTGAACTAGAGCGGGGCGAGCCCTGGGGCCGGGGGCGCCCGCCC